TGCATGCGTGCGTGTGTATGTGTGTGTGTGATCTGTATGTAGTTCCAGAAACTTTGATATGTAATTTCTGTGAAGGATGCCATGCCCCTACTATGCTACTTTGAAACAATTATGTTTTTTCAGTAGAAAGATATGTCTTCTTAAAGTAACTCATTTTCCATGAATTACTTCCCTGGCAATCTTGTCAACTGTGGCTGACTAAACAGTTATCATTGGAGAGGACTGTGGAGTTTGTTATCATACCCTGGAGTTTAATATGAAGAAAAAGAATGTCTTTACAGTCTGTTACCACTTTTTTTCAAGACCCATTCACTTACTTCATATATATATATATATATATGTACATATTCTTAGTTGCCTACATTTATCTCCATCTCCCTTATTATAAGGATAGATAAATTTCTAAATCTCATTGCATATTTAACATTCATTTCTCTATTATGTTGATGCACTTTTGTACATCATACATTTCGTATTCATTTCATCCTGTTAATCTGCCTGCTGTCAGTTTATTAAATAGGCCCAATTACTGAGAGCCCTGAGAGAGTACAACAAAACTTTTCCTCTTAAACACATCCCATTCAAGCACAGCTATCTTACGAAGTACCTATTCTAAAAGTATATACTATCAGCTCCACTTTTCCACATGAGAAAACTGAGGTGGTCTAAGACAAGCAAAAATCACTTGTATTAAACACTATAGCTGAAAAGTAAATAATTTAAGATTCAAATGAGAATCTATCTCCAAAACCCATATTCCCCTCAACTACATCAAGTCACTAAGTATATCATAGTTACCCTGCTGATCTCTATGATTATTCTGTGGATTAACCATAGTACCAAGTATTTAATATCAGTTCCTGCCAAATTCCATAGCACATTCCACTCATTTGGTCTGTCAGGGATTGTCAACATTTTTTTGCCTTTGTCTTTTGAGATGTGAATCTGACTATGTTCTCCAGGTTGTCTTTAAATTTCTGGGCTCAACTAATTCTCTCACTCAGCCTTCCAAATAGTTGGGACTACAAATATGTACCACTATACCTGGTTTGTCAACTTATTTATAATCTTATTGTTCAGGGGTTGTCAATTCCTATTTTTTTATATTCAGCCAAGACAAACAAACATGGGAAATGAAGTTCAGCAGGAAAGAAAGGCCTATGAGGCAGTGGTTGATGCTGTTCAGTTGTATGGTGTTTACCTAGCATGTACAAGCCCTGTGCTCAGTTCCTTGAAGTTGGGGTTTAAATGAGCTCACCATACCCAAGATAAATGATAAATAGGTGTTTTATTGGGGAAGAATTTACACAGATAAGAGTAAATAACTGCTATGGCCTTCCTGCTCCAGAAGATGCAGTCTCTACTCTTCTGATATTCTCCAAGACCCGCCGTTCCTCTACCTTAAAAGGGTTACATCTCTACCTGAAACCACACCCAAACTGTGTGGCCACTACTACAAGTTAACTGGCAAGGCAAGATGCCGCTGCATTTCCTAGTATTGCTGGTGATGAGGATGGAATCCAGGACCTTATGCATGCTAGGCGTGTGTTCTATTACTGAGCTACATCCCTAGCCCTGTCATGTGGTTCTATGTACACATGCTTTGTAGCTCAACCCCCAAAAGGTGCTTCTTAAATAGTATTCACAAACATCCCATGGACAAGTTCCCTTCTTTGGAATTCTAGGCAGTCTAGTTCATTGTAGAAGATTTCATGCCTTATTCAGTTACTGAATAATTTTGGTGCCAGCTGCATGGTTGATACTATGCTAGAGTTTGGGAACAAACAAAGTTGAAAAAGTGTAAGTCTTGTCACTAAGAAGATCAGTTTTGTGGCAAGAAAATCATAAGACACTTAAAAAACAACATGATACTTGAAATATCTTTAAGGTAGGTATGCTCAATGTGCAATGAAAGCATGAAAGAAAATCTGGAGTAAGTTGTTAGGCCATATTAAAGAGAATATGTACATTTATTCTTGAAAGTTTTGCAGATGGGGATACTTTTAGTGAAAAAAGAGTAGCTTGGGCAGAAGTCTGAGAAAGGATAGTGAATTTAGCAATGCCTTAGCATGACTTCTTTAAAGGATAGCAATTAATAATGTTGAAATGGCAGATTGTATGCCAGTCAAGGAGCCAATACCTTGGTATCAGACAAGTAAAATAAGTGGTTGATAAGGATAGACCAGGGTCAAGGGGTAGAAAGGGTTATGTAAATTATTCTCAAAGGGGGCAGTTTTAGCTGGATGTAGCCATATGGAAATGTGGACCCAATGTGTTAACAGGTCTTGTTTTTTTTTTTCTTTTTCTTTTTAGAAAACCAAGAAATCTGCATTCTAAAAACGTGAAACCTCCAGATTTCTAAATGCTAGAATTGAGTTTCCTTTTTCAATCCAAGTTTTAGCTAACATTATACCAAACACAACACATTTGTTTGCTAAATGTGGCCTACAAGTTTATCATTTTCAGACCTGTGCTGTAGGGGACAGGGCACTATGGAAACAGAAGCAAAGTGAAGCAATGCATCAAAACACAGACAACATATTAATAAAAAGGAACTTGTGGGTTGGGGGTGTAGCTAAGTGGTAGAATGCTTGCCTGGAGCATATGAGACTTCTAAGTTTAATCTACAGTGCTTCATTAATATAATGATAATTATTATTATAACCACATTTATTTCTCATTGCCTTGGTTCACTGTGATATTTATAAAGTGTATGAAGCCATATTTCCTGCCTCTTAGGAATCAAAATGAGGTCCTAGGTCAAATGAAATTCTGAGTGTAATAATGCAAACAGGGTCTTTCTTGGTTCAGTCATGAAAAGAAGGGCCTCAGTGAGATGGCTCAGCTGATAAGGTGTTTGCAGATCTCTCTATAGTGCAAGTCTGATGATCTCACTTTGGTCCTGGGAACTTATGTAAAGGTGGAGATTGACACAGATTCAGCAAAGTTATCCTATTACCTTTTTATGTACTCAATGGCATGTGAGACCCCCAACACACACACACACACACACACACACACACACACACACACACAGTAATAGTGATACATTTTAAAAATGTAAAAGCTGGTAGAACACAGAAGCTGAAACCAGTAACACCCTTGAGAATCACCACTACCACCACCACCATCAGGAGATGGATGTTATTTATTTCCTTTTTAATTTAGATGAAGATAAAGTAGCCTCTTTTAACTGTGTGTGCAATAAATTCAACATAGCCAGTGATGAGACAGATAAGGCACAATGTAATAGCTGTTACAGTTTAAACTCTCCATTTTACAGTTGAAGAAACCTAGCCAGTGTTTCCCCACTCCCTCCAAAAAGTATGTTGCTTTGCTCAGAGTGACCAGACAAACTAGTGGCAGAGTGAGGCCTCCTGACTTCTGGTCTTGCATTCTTTCCAATAATCCTGGCTGTGATAATTAAGGTAAATCAGCCTGGCGGTTTTCCTAGCATCTAGAATTCCTGGTCTGGACAAGTAGATCTTGAGAGCTGCTGTTGCAAGTCTTTCTTTTCCTCCTTATCTGTGTGATGATGAGATTTTTTTTTTCAAATTTTGGGTTTCATAGGTAAAGGTTAAGAAGAGGACAAAAAGATGTTTGGGGAGCACTGAGACCATTCACAAGGCTACGAAAGCAAACTTGTCGGTGGCTGATATATTTAAAGCTTATGACCTCTGTGCTCTCTGCACCGACCTCTGTGCCATATGCTTTTAGTTTTGTTTTTCTTTTGTCTCCTTTTCTATATTCTTCTGTGTATTTCTTCTCCCTTATCAGCCTAGGTCTCAAGCCTATCTTTAAGTGCTCTGGGGCATCACTAAGCCTCCCCTGTGGCTTTTACTATGCTTGCTTCAAGTCAATAAAATTGCTAATTATTCATTTCTCAATTGCATGGAAATGAGAGTGCCTACTGGCTAGAAAAGTGAATGCTTGCTATGCTACAGCTACTTAAGTCTCTAAAATCTGAGACTAGTAACGCTTGTCAATTTTGACTCTTGACAACTAATCTTTTCCATCCTTCATTTCCAGGTCTATTGTTCTGACATTTGCCATTTTTTTTCTCTGACCCTGTTTCTGATTGGTGCAGCTGTTGAAGATGCTGCAGTTGCAGCATGTACATCTGGAACATTTGGCTGACTTGTTGAACTTCCCCCAGGGAGTACTCCAGGGGAAGCATGGGAAGGGTGGAGAGGCCAGAACAGTTGTCTGCAAGTAGAGATGCCAATAGTGTCTGGCCATTTTGTGGACCACCCTTGTAAAAAATTCACCTCATTGTGACCCTCAGTTTACCCACCTGCTCTTTGAAGGCTTGTGATCTTTCAAAACTCCTGCAGCCCTAGAAGAAGATAAACTTTTGGCTGTGGGCTCTCTCACACAACACTTTCTGCCTTATGAAAGGAGTCAATGCATATCTGTTGAATGAATTAATATGTCAAGAAATCCTAGGAAACTGTTTTACCCGTCAAGGGACAGCATCACTTCAGCTCCACTTGGCACTAGGCACTTGGCACTAGGCTTTGACGGCGCCCCCAGACTCACTCTAGGAGTGAGACAGCCTGATTCCCAGTCTGTTTGGCTCCCTGGCTCCTAGGTCTCCTTTTCTTCTGGCGAGCCATTGAATTGCAAACACAGCAGGCATGGTTTCATTCCAAACCCTGAACTGTTTTAATTAGTTTAACGTCTGTTAAACGCTTTGAAGATTGAAAGCAACAGATAAGTACTGGATGATGTTATTAACAACTGCAGTTAATTGCAAACATTTCTATTAATGCTAGTTTCTGCCTCCTTTTCTTTACTCCACGTTCTTTCTAAGGTTCCCAAATTCTTCTCAGCCTCCCCCTCCTGCCCTCCCCCATAGTGGCGCTGCTGAAGGGTTAAACCGGGGTGGAGTCCAGAGATGAAGGACAGCGGCAGTCACCAACTGCAACGGGGCAAGCGGGAAGAGCTGGGTGGGGCTGCCAGGCAGAGGTGAACCCCCACGCCCCCAGGCCCCGCCCCACGGCTGGAGGCCCGAGTGGAAAGGCAGGGGGCGGGGCGCCCAGGCCTGGCGGGCCCGTGGTTGGGCGTCCCAGCCGCCCCTTGAGGCATGGGGCGGGGTAGGTGAGGACCTCCTCCCTCATTCCCTCCTGGGCCGCGCCGCCCCTCTCTCCCGCCCCTCCTCCTCCCTTTCCCACCCCTCGGAGTGGAGCTGCACATGCGGCTGCTCCCTGTTCTGTCCCGCCCAGCCACCGTCGCTCAGGAACGGGTCCCTGCAGCCCCCAGCCGATGGCAGGACAGTAGCCGCTTGTCAGGGGTCGTGAAGGGCTGAGGCAGAGGCAGAGGCTCCCGGGCCTCAGATAGTGGCTGTCTCTGGAGGCCATGGGCTACCCCGAGGTAGAGCGCAGGGAACCCCTGCCTACAGCAGCGCCAAGGGAGCGGGGCAGCCAGGGCTGCGGCTGTCGCGGGGCCCCTGCTCGGGCGGGCGAAGGGAACAGCTGCCGGCTCTTCCTGGGTTTCTTTGGCCTCTCGCTGGCCCTCCACCTGCTGACGCTGTGCTGCTACCTAGAGTTGCGGTCCGAATTGCGGCGGGAACGGGGAACCGAGTCCCGCCTCAGCGGCCCGGGTGCTCCTGGCACCTCTGGCACCCTAAGCAGCCCTGGTAGCCTCGACCCTGTGGGTCCCATCACCCGCCACCTCGGGCAGCCGCCCTTTCCACAGCAGCCTTTGGAACCAGGAGAAGATCCACTCCCCCCTGACTCCCAGGACCGGCACCAGGTGAGTCACCTAGGAGGGGCGGCGGCCTTGGAGGCCCCCTCCCCTGCTAGGTTGGGTGGGGGCCTGCGCCTCAGGGCTCGGGGGACTCTGCCACTCAGAGCCAAGTTACAGGGCAGGACCTGGGAGTGGGCCGGAGAGCTAGGGAGAGGTTGTCCGGGGCAGGTTGTTCTCAGTTCCTGGCTTGGCTCATCCAGACCCTCTCGGGTCCCATGGACTTGGAAAGCCCAGCCTGCATGCGCCGCCCCCGGGGGGGTGTGGGCTGCTTTGGTGAAAAGTTGGCCGGGCTCGCGCCCGGGCCGGCGGAGAGGTGCCTGCGCCGCCCCCGTGGCCGTCTAACGGCCAGCAGCTTGGCCCCTGGTGCCCCTGGTGAGGTTCCCTGCCCACGGTGCTTGTTTCTTCGTGTCCCGAGCTGATGCCAGCACTAGCAGGCTCCTCTTTGGAGTTGGAGCTGTAAACAGCTGTAATAACTGTTCCACGCCTGTTGAAACAACTTTTAACCGTACTTTTCAGCGCCGGGTTCTTTTGCGCTGACCAGAATGTGAGCTTTTTCTCACTTACCTGCAATTTGAGACCGATTGTCCTGGGCGTTCTCGTGAGGATCAGCGCCCCTGAGGAATTCTGGTAGAAATATGCCGTCTTGCTAGACAACTTCTGAACAGCAATTTAAAAAATCTATGGAAATAAAACTCACCCTTTGCATGCCGGTTCTGACACTCTTGTTGATGGAGTGGGGTGCAGTGGGTGTGAAGAGTTTTCCTTATCGCTAGCTTCAGAACAGGAAGTTGGAGTTTTGTTTTGTTTTTGGTATTCTTTAGAGTGTTTGTATCCCCTTTTAGCAAACCACTAGTTTGGTTGTTTTCCTTACTGTTTCTTCAAGTAAATTCAGCGTACTTGATATTAAGTATTCTCGTGGTTGCCAAAGTTGTCTTATATGTGAATCTTAGGCAATGCAACCAAGGATCTTTTTGAGGTGGTTAAAGACTAATGGTTAGTTTGTACCCTTTGAAAAAACAAGTTGTGTAAGTAACTTACTTGACGTGAGGCATGGGAGTCTTCTGAATTTAGTGTTACATCCATAGCCATTGTCACAATTCTTTAAACATTATTTGTGCTACTTTGACCTTCAAAGTTGTACACTTTAGAGCTGTCACATCCATAACAATACTCTGTCAGGACTGACACTTTTTACTTTTACAATGTATTTTGTAAAATTGCCCCAGCCCTAAAATGCCTTTCAAACAGACCCCAACTTATATAACAGCTTATCATAGACGAGAATCTGCAGACATGCTCCTCATGCTGGAAACTTTAAACATTATGACTGGGTAATAACTAATTAAGACTCTGGGTCTTTTATTTGTCTCCCCACTCCTCATGCCCCTAGAAATACTTAGCAGCTGCCCATCAGTATTCTGTGAAAAAGTATCAGAGAATTCAACTTCTTTACTCAACTGGTGGTCAAGGTTTTTTGGCATTCAGGGTGGACAGTGTCATGTTCGTGTATTGAGGATTAGTGGGACAGCTGTATTCTAGAGCTTCTGTGAGGGCATGGGACTCACATGGTTTTGGCATGGCTTTTAGTTGCTTACACTTGTGTAGCACTAAAATACTTAGGTGTTTCAACACAGTTTCTCATCTCCTGTCCTTTAGAATCTTTCTAGTTTAGTCTTTTGGGACAGTCAAAGCAATGATACATTTATTGGCATCAACTTGGAATTGAAGTTTTTCAGATTTGTAAGGTACCACCCACGTCTATTTTATTGATTCTTTTGAAGAACGTATAGGCCCTGAGGGAGAAGTAAATGGCCCAATATATCATAGCTTTAGTCAAAACTAGGATGAAGTTGTGCCTTCATCCTCCAGTTTAGTACACATTACCCCATAATATGGTGTCTATCAAAAAAAAAAAAAAAAAAAAAGTTGAGGGGAATGAAGCAACTGTAGGTTGGAACTCCATAGTAGATTTTTTTTTTTATAAAATGAAGGGTTCAAATCTCTGTCATTTTGTTCTGCTCTAACTACATTTTGACCAGACCAAGTTTAACCATATACTCCTTTTTTTGTCTTGAACTTTACTTTCAGGAAAACAGGAATATAACTGGAGAAGTGTTAGCTCATATTCAACTTGTTTCTCTTGAGAATATTAGTTTAAGCATATAAATAAGCAAATATATGAATAAATAAATAAAGGAAAATGTGATTGGCTAATTGAGTTAAATTGATGTGCTATATCTGGGTAAAATTTCTAGTGCCCTGGTGCACCCTCTGCTGGTTTTGCAGTGATATGTAATTGTACTAACTGCTGACAGTCAAACTTCTAAGTTGTGCTGACAGATTCTGATTCATAATAAGGAAGTAAACAGTCTCCTGGGATTTGGCCATGTAGGTCATATTTTATATTTTAGTTTGAAAAACAGCTGCTGTTACGGCAAGTGTTGGATAGAGAGGACCAGAGACAAAAACATCCATCCTCCAGTGGGCAATGTATTTGGGTTTCATACCAATATATTTAGAAAGAGTGAAGGCAAGCTGATGACACTAAACTGTGGTGAACAGATCAGTTAGCTGCATTTCGTTATGTAAGGTGGTATATACATTTAGGCAAAGGTGAAGTTATTCATACTTATGAGATGATTGGACTTTGGGCTCTCAGTATGACTGAAGGAAGGACTCCAGAAATCATCAAAGGTGTATGTATAGCATACTGCCGTTAAAAAAGAATCTGGATACAGAAGGAATTCAGGACATAAAGCAGGAAGATTAGCAAATTTCTTCAGAGAAGGTATAAGAAAAGAAGGGAAACAGTTGCTGATCATAAAGAGTGAGAGGGTAGCATCTGCAAACATGGACTGTCTCCTTTAGCTGAAGGAGATAAGGAGCTGTATCTGGATACTTCGTAAAGTTTAGCTTAAGAGCTAGGGATGTACCAGTAGTCTCTGATTTTGATGACAAATAATTAAAAACATTTTTTAAAAAAATCCCTGGATCACACTATAGAGAAAAAAGATCTGCTCATGATTATGTCCCTCAAATTTCAAAAACATGGTGGAGAATCTCAGGAATGTGTCAAAAACAAAACAAAACTTTTTTTCATGGAGAAGATCAAAAATGAATTTTTGTCTACAATCAGACAGAAAATTCTGGTTGCTGTTCCGCAAGAAAAAGCTAACAGCTGATTGATAAACGCCTCCAGAAACCCAATTAAATTGATCAAAAGGAAAGATTTTCTAGTTTTTTCTTTCAGTCTGGAGAGAGAAGAGAGGAAGGAGTGAAAAGTCTTCCAAATCAGGAGAGAGATGAGTATGGTTAGAGCGTTCGTGTAATTTAATGATCTAAGCTCAATAAATAAATACTTCTTTGTGCTAGATACAGTGTTAAATATTAGATATATTCTTGATTGTGAGCCTAGCCTTTAATGGCTGAGCTATCTCTCCAGCTCATATTAGATGTCTTATAATGTTTGAAAAAGTTATGGTGAGAGAAATAAATAATGGTAGCATCTCAGAATCTAAACTACAGGCAGATCAATAGGAATTTATTCAGGACTGTTGGAGATGCTTGAGATATATTCCTAATATTTGAGGTGATGTAACAGGAGGTAGCTTTAATACTCTGCAGAGATCTTTGAGTATAACTAGATACATCATTAGCATACCAAAATTTGATATTCATAATAACTAAAAATCATTCTAGGTGATTCATGTTGGTCATATCCCACATATCCCACAAGTTGTGGAATCTAGATAAGTTGTTTATGAGTTTAAATGTCGACTTTTCAATGTGTTCTTTAAGGCTTTTGATGTGCTGGTTTCATGATATCCCTCTCATTTTCACTCTCATTAATTTTACTCCTGGAAGTCACTCACCATATTCTCTTTGGGGATTATTCTGTAGTCGTTACTGATTTTCATCTTAATAATCTGCCTTTACATTAAAGCTCATCAGAAATGCACCATCTGTACTATATTTATGATTTCTAACAGCACTAGTTGTAGAAAACTAGTTGTTGAAGTGAAATTTTTTGGGGACTTGGGTAACATTTATATAAAACAAAGGCATTATAAAACAACCCTGTTTCTCTCTGGTCTCTTTGTCAATTTTGCTTAGGTAAATAGTTACATTGGTAATGTTTCACTTTTTCAAAAATAATTAGAAAGTGAAGTGGAAAAGAGGAGTCCTAACCATGTGATCCATTTCCTAGTTTTACACTTTCCCTCTAAGATGGTACTAAACGCTTTTTGTAATACGTTGTTTGATATTTTATTTGCTTTTCGGTCTCATCTTTCTCTCTTAGATCTTGTGAAAAATGATCTGTAATTTATCTGTAACTACCTTAGAGAGAAGATATCTTTATACCAAGAATTTCTGAAGCGATTTGAATTCCCAAGAATATTACCAAGAAAAGCCTCATGCCTTTGTCTGTAAAGCAGCCATTGTAGAGAACCATCTTTGTCTGACTCATTTCTATTCTTTTTCCTTACATTTTATTGACATATAATTACAAATATAGAAAAGCATACACATCATAATTGTATCATTTGATGAACTATTACAAAGTGAGCACACTAATGTTGCTTGCACCTAAGTCAAGAGAGAAAATATTTTCAAAATCCTGCAAACCTTAATTGTGCCCATCTTTATCACTATATCATTCTCACTCTCCAAAGATAATGAACGTCCTGACTTCTATTACCAGAAATAATTTTGTTAATTTTGAACTGTATATGAATGAAATCAGATATATGTATTCTTTTGAGTCTTGTTGTTTTTGGTTAACCCTATATTCTGCAGACAGAAATATTTTTAATTTATATTTTATATATACTGTTGTTGAAATATATCATAATTTATAAATTCCTTATTACAGTAATAAATATATAGATTATTTCCAGTTAGGAGTTATTATGAATAATGATGTTTCAGATAGTTTTATACCTGTCTTTTGGTTCCAATTATTAGAACTTCCATTGAATATATACCTAGGATTAGTTTTTATGCAA